CTCCTCAGGTACCAGGATTGCATATAATGTACACACATACATATGGGCAAAACACTTTTACATAAATGAAACTAAATAAATCTGTTTTTAAAACATTCAAAGGTGCGGGGCAGTGGTGGTGCACGCCTTAATCCCAGCACTTGGGAGGCAGAGGCAGGCGGATTTCTGGGTTCAAGGCCAGCCTGGTCTACAGAGTGAGTTACAGGACAGCCAGGGCTACACAGAGAAACTCTGTCTCGAAAAACCAAAAAAAAAAAAAAAAAAAAAAAAAAAAAAAAAAACAAACCAAACCAAAAAAAACATTCAAAGTCATTTTACTCAAGGGACACTACCTCAATATAGAGAAAGCAAACAATCAATACAACCAATGTCAACCATGTATATATATGTATATGTATCACATGTACACATATACCTACACATGTATGTAGGTGTGTAGACATACACACACATGTACCTATATACACAAAATAATTCTAAAACCATCCTGAGACTGTTTTTTTTTTCTTTTTTTCTTGCTTTTTTCGAGACAGGGTTTCTCTGTATAGTACACATGGTACACATGGTGTGTAAGTACACATGGTGTGTAAGTACACATGGTGTATTTCCCACATGATCGAATGGCCTGGGGACCTTACACTGTTTTTATGATACTGTCTGCTGATGTTCTTATGATTCCCCCCCCCCAGATTGTGGTTTTCTCCTTTAAATACCCCTTGCTCCTGAGCCTCAGGGTCGACACTCCTCTTGTGAGTCTCGGCTTCAGCCAGCTGATACCCCGAAATCCGGAAAATAAAGCCTTTTGCAGTTTGCAGCAAGTTCAGTCTCTTGCGTGACTCTGGGTGGCTGTGAATTCCCACAACTTGAGCGAGGGTCTCCTGGAGTCTTTCACCAGCACTTGGGAGACAGAGGCGGGTGGATGTCTATGAGCTCAAGACCAGCTTGATCTAGGCAAGTTCTAGGACAGCCAAGGCTGTTACACAGAAAAACTTGGGCCCAAAAGAATGTTTATTTTTTTTGTCATTGTATATTGAAAGTCTATAACTTTTTTTTCCACTTTATGAGGTTTCTAGTTAAGTGTGTTTTGAGTGGCTTTTTAATTTTTTTTTTTTTTTGGACCTAGGGTCTTACTGTGTAGATTTGGCTGGCCTGGAACTCACTATCTAGAAGGGGATGACCTTAAACTCACAGAGATCCACCTGCCTCTGCCTGAGATTAAAGGTGTGTGCCACTATGTACACACAGGGAGCAGCATTGAGATTGATAAAAAACATTTTAGGAACGTTTAGGGATGGAATATATGGACTTTGCTTTATAAGATGAAATGAGGCTTTAGGGACCTAGGTTGCATTTCTATGACTTAAAGTGCTATGTTTTTGTTTTTTTTTTTTTATTAAACCACAGTTGTGGTGCTGTGTGATTTTTAGTAAACCTAACTGCATTTAAAATTAGCATTGAAACACAGCTCTGAGTGTGTTTATGAGGGTGTTTCAAAGAAGATTTAACTAAAGAGGGAAGGCCTAGCCTGAATGTAGACGCCATCACCCTGCAGGTCAGAGCCTGGGACTGAATATAGAGAAGACCAGCATTCCTTTCTCTTTGCTTCCTGAGTAAGGACACCATGTGACTCGCTGCTTCATGTTACTTTATGTCATTCCTCTCACAGTAGACTAACACTTTAAAACCATGGGGAATACTTCCTTAAGTTCCCTTGGTCAGGAATGTTGTCACAAGTGGCTAACAGTTTTCTTTGCAGGAATGAGAATATTTTTATTGTAGTCATTGGTAGCAAAATGATATGATGGATATTTTTACATTTATAAATACTTTAGAGAATTGCCATTTTTTTCTGTTTTTATTAATCTTTTTCAGTTTTCCTTTTGGCAAGTTTTATTAGTTAAAATTTTTTTCAATGTATTTTGACCACAGTCACACCACGGGTCTCTAACTCATCTCAGATCCAACCTCCTTTCCTCACCTACCCAACTTTGCGTCCTCCTTTTTTTTTTTTTTTTTTTTAAAGAACATCTATTATGTTCAATTTGTGCTGCCCTTATACTCTTGGATGTTTGGCTTCCACTAGAGCATGGTTGACCACGCCCTCTCAGAGACCACATATCCCTTAAAACGAATTCTCTCTCCCAGCCACTGTCAACTGCCAATAGCAACCTCAGGAGAGTGCGGCTTTGTGCCCGCTTCATCTCTTTATACTGGAATTTTGGTTTGAGCATGCAAGGGTCTTGAGCCTGCTGTCACGACTGTTGGAGGCTCCACCACTGGATGTGCACGTGTGCTTGTGTGTAACCACCCTTCTGTGTTCAGATAACAGTTTCTTTGCAGTCACCCTCTGGCTTTTACAGTTTTTTGCCTTCTAAGTCACTGTCGTATTGCTGTGAAGAGCCACCATGACCACAGAAACTCCTATGAAAGAAAGGTCTTTTTTTTTTTTTTTTTCTTTTAAAGACAGGGTTTCTCTGTGTAGTCCTGGCTGTCCTAGAACTCACTCTGTAGAGCAGGCTGGCCTCAAACTCAGAAATCCGCCTGCCTCTGCCTCCGAAGTGCTGGGATTAAAGGCATGTGCCACCACCGCCCGGCGAAAGAAAGGTCTTAATTAGGGGTTGCTTAGTAGTTTCTTTTGGCTTAGTCCATTATCTTCAGGCCAGGGGGCATGGCTGCACACCAGCAGACGTGGTGCTGAAGAAGTAGCTGAGAGGTGTACAGCAACAGGGAGAGAGCCTGAGCCTGCATGGGCTTTTGAGACCTCAAAGTCCATGCCTCCATTAGGGCCATGCCTTCTAGTCCTTTTCAAATATGTTATAGCTGTTCCATTTAGGGCTGAGCATTTCTCTTTCTGTTTCCCAAGATAGGGTTTCTCTGTGTAACTGCCCTGGCTGTCCTGGAACTTGCTTTGTAGACTAGGTTGGCCTTGAACTCAGAGATCCCCTTTTCTTTGCCTCTCAAGTGGTGAGATTAAACATGTGTGCCACCATTCTTGGCTAGGGCTGAGTATTTCACGGCTTCTTCATCCTCGATCAGTTGCAGGTCTCTGTGTTAATCGCAATCTGTTACCTAAAGAGGGGTCTTTGATGAGGTTGAGAGATGAACTAATCTGTGCCTGTGTCATGTGCCTTATTTCTGTTTTGTTTTTAAAAACCGTAGTTTTTAAAAGGAAGGTATAGTTAGAAGTGTCTTCTAGCCACATATGAGATATCCGTGTAGTCCTTATGCTGACACTGACATTATTCACCAGGAAATGACCTCCTGGTGTGTCATACTGGTGTCATACAACATCCTGGCTTTGGTGTGTGTGAAGTGCTGGGGATCAAACTCAGGGCCTCACACATGCTCTATCACTGACCTGTCTGGTCCCTAGTCCTTTTTTTTTTTTTCTTTTTCTAACCCTGGCTGTGCTGGAATTCCCTCTGTAGACCACCCTGGGCTTGAACGCAAGAGATCTGCCTGTCTCTGCCTCTCAAGTGCTAGGAGTACAGGTGTGCATTACCACTGCCCAGCTTATGTCTTCAGACGTAAACTGTCACAGAATGTCAATCACTTTGTCCCTGCACTTAGTTTTACCTCCCTGATGGAATATATTAAAATCACATGGGCGAAAAGATGAATTCAATCCCATGATGTTATGGCAACTGAATTATTGAGTCCTTTTATGACTGGAGTTGGAAATGATCCCCCATGGCTCATGTGCTGGGTCACCTCTTCCCAGGCTGTTGGAAGTGCTTGTGGAACTTTTGAGACATAGAGCAGAAAGGGATTACTAGGGGAAGGCCCTTGAAATTTATAATCATCACTGGTTCCTGCCTGAGGTTTGTTTCCCAGTCTGCCCAAGAGTAACTGCAGCCACAAGCTCGTTAACCACTGAGGAAGCTACTACCCATTCCTTTCCCAGCATGGGAATGTATACTCTGAACTGTGAGCCAAAATAGATAAATCCTTTAAATTGCTTCTGTAAGGTGTTCTAGCATTTTGTTACAGGGATAAGGATATAGCTTCCTATCCACACCCATCCTTTCCTTATTTTATTCGTTTTTTTTTTTTTTTTTTTTTGAGACTGTGTTTCTCTGTGTAGTCATGGCTGTCTTGCGTCCTGAAACTCACTTAGTAGACCAGGCTGGCTGAGATTCAGAGATCAGCCTGCGCCTACATCTTGAGTGCTGAGATTAAAGGCGTGTGACACCACCACCCAGTCCCTTCCTTTCTAATTATTATTTAGCTTATGTTCTCGTCTGTTTTCCACTCTGGTAACTGCAGACGCTGTGGAAATTATTTAAGAGCCCTAAGAACCAGGGACCACTGGGGTGTCACATCCTACGCAGTCTACTGTACTTTTTAAGATTAGGCGTGTAAACTGGTTTTGGCCATGATACGTGAGTCAGCACTATAGACTAGAAAAGGTTGGCTCTTGAGCTTAGAGTTATGTTCTACTTGTACCAGCTATGTAATCTTGGAAATGGTTATTTCATTTTCTTAAGATTTTAATTCCCTACCGTGGATATGTTGAGTCACAATGAAAATTCAACATTATTCTCAGGAACCACTAGATTCGCGGCTCCCTGCGGTCAGCACATGGGAAACCCCATTCTGGTGTCGACGGATTATCTGTTTTCATCAGCTAGGGTAGCATTCTGTCACCCACAGCCTTCATGTGAGAACCTCAGAGGCTCTAAGCCGACTCGTTGGGGGAGCCGATGCAGAGGAAGGCCCTAGCGCAGGCCCCGCCCTTGCCCTTCCCAGCACCGCCCTCGGGTTCGAGGGATGGAGACAGGGCGCGGGGTGCTGCGGGACCGGTCCTGCTGAGCATCTTCGGGTACACGACTGTCTTCCCATGAAGAACCAGCCATCACTGAGCCCAAAGAACTTCTGCCTTACAGATTGACTCTCTAGGCTTTCCGTTTCCCTTCCAGCAGGGAGGGTGGAACTTCCTGTTTTCTCCCCTAGGAACTTCCGGAAAGTACTGCTGGTTTGAAAACAAGTCGACACGCAGAGCCGCCGGCCATTCGAGGAAAAACAGAGAATGTGAATTAAGGTCTCTAGCCAAGGCAATTGTGAAATCTTTGTTTTTCGGTTATGGTGTTCTGTGCTCCATCCAGTGTAGTCGCCCTGGGAACCGCCGGAAGTGCCTCAACGGAGAGACAGGAAGTCCCGCCTCTTCCTCCCAGAGGGAAGACGGTGAGCCGGAGGAGTCAGTCAGAGGGCCTAGCAGGAGCGATTTCCCCGACAAACAGGTGAGTTATTCTCCGGCGGGGCGGGGGGT